GATGGCTGATTTTGTCATTCACCATTGATTGGAGGTAAGGAGGTAGAGGTGAAAGTTCTCCCTTATGATCCAGTTCCACACAATTGCATATAAGCCTTGCATAACAAGATTCACATACCTTTTTTGGAAAGATGACTTTCCAAAAGTCACTTTATTAACATAAATTCAGAGGTAGTTAAAGAGTACTGTGAGGGGCTGGGAAAGTGGCTCAGTGGTAGAGTGCTTGCCTTGCATGCATGAGGCCCTGGGTTTGATTCCTCACCACCACATAAGCAAAAAGAAAAAAGCCAGAAGTGGTGCTGTGGCTCAAGTGGTAGAGTGCTAGCCTTGAGCTGAAGAGCTGAGGGACAGCGCCCGGGCCCAGAGTTCAGGCCCCACAACCGGACCCCCCCCCAAAAAAAAAAAAAAAAAAAAAAAGTACCGTGAGCCCAGCTCCAGTGGCTCAAACCTGTAATCCTAGTCTGTGAAACTTTTTTTTTTTTTTGTCGCTTGTGGGGCTTGAATTGTGACTCTTAACTCCAATTAACCACCAGAAAACTGGAAGTGGTGCTGTGGTTTAAAGTGGTAGGGCACTAGCATTGAGCAAAAAACCTCAGAGGCAGTACTCAGGCTGTGAGTTCAAGCCACAGCACCACTTCCAGTTTTCTGTGGTTAATTGGAGTTAAGAGTCTCACAGACTTTCCTGCCCTGGCTGGCTTTGAACCTCGATCCTCAGATCTCAGCCTCCTGAGTAGCTAGGATTACAGGCGTGAGCCACAGGCACCTGGCTCCCTTAGCTTTTTTGATCAAGGCTGGCACTTTACCACTTGAACCTCTGACTTTTTGCTAGCTAACTGGAGTTAAGAATCTGTGGTGACTGCTCAGACTGGCTTTGAATTGTGATCCTCAGATCTTAGCCTCCTGAGAAGCAAGGATTACAGTGTGAGCTATTGGCAGAACCTTATAGAGTGCTTGTTTATAGCAGCTTGTAGTAGGCTTCTGGGTAGAGAGCTATAAGAATGCATTGTAGGACTACAACAAGGTAGCCACTTTGAACTTGGAAAATGAAGGGAATCGTTTATTCCTGACAAGTCAGCTGCAGTCTCGATCTACAAACACAGACAGAATCTCCTCCTCAATCTGTGCTTCTCAAAATGTGGATCTGCCACCACCATCACATAGGCAAATTAGATATTCACATGATAGGTCCCAAACTTACTGAATTGGAAACTGCTAGTGGAGCCCAACAGTAATCTGATGTGCACTCAGAATAAGCACTGATATATACTTCATATACTTTTGTTGCTGTTGTTGTTGGTCATGGGGCTTGAACTTTGGGCTGGGCACTGCCCCTCACCTCTTCAGCTCAAGGCAAGGGCTCTACTGCTTGAGCCACAGCGCCACTTCCGGTTTTCTAGTGGTTTATTGGAGATAAGAGTCTCACGGACTTTCCTGCCGAGGCTAGCTTTGAACCATGAACCTCAGATCTCAGCCTCCTGAGTAGCTAGTGAGCCACTGGCGCCCGGCTCTCTTCAGATACTTCTGATATTCACCGAGATTCAGGAGCCATTGCCCTGAAATAGCATGGCTCCCAAGCTTGCAGGGCTTGCTGGGCCATCACCAAAGGTGCTGACAGGGCCATGGATGCTGCTGCCCTCGCTCAGTCTTGGAGGCATGGAAAGAACTGAATCACTCAGGCCACGGTTGTTTGAATCTAGTTAAGCAGCTGGGAAGAGAATGCTGGGCTTGTTTTTAGGACTAAACCTGTGAGAACTCCATGAAATTAGAGCCCCTTTTCCAAGTGGCATGTGTTGCTAAGGGCCCTTGTTATGCTTCTATGGTCTCCAGGGAGACTGCTCATTAGTCGGGCCCTATGGAGTATGCCTTCGGGAAGAGAATGTACCTGGTCAGAAAGCTTGTGTGTGTGTTTCTGTCCTGGGTGTCCCTTTGCCACTCTGTTTTTCTCTCTCCTACTCTCTCTTTTCCCCCAGGAGACTAACCTGTAGAGACTAAGTCAGAGGGCATTCTGGGGCTGACAGGACGGCAGCGGGAGGGACAGCACAGGGTTGGGGTGTTCATTCTTGTGAGTGTGGTCTCACAAGATCACCTCAGACTGACCTGAACCTCGACTAGGGACAATATTCCTCTCCAAGCATTTGCCCTGCTTATCTTCCCCAGATTTCAATAACCCAGGAGATAGACTTCAGGAATGGTGGGGAGAGGGGAAAAAGTATATCCCTTTCAAGGCTCATACTCATGTGTTTTTTGTCAAAGACCAATTCACAGGTTCAAGGTTCTTAATTCAAAGCTGGGTGTGATGACTCTTGCTTGTAATCCCAGCACTCTGGAGACTGAAGTAGGAAGCCACAGATTCAAGGCTAGCCTGAGCTATCAAGTAAGACTGTCTCAAAAAAACCAAAAGAACAGCGGGGTGCTAGTGACTCATGCCTATAAACCTAGCTACTCCGGAAGCTGAGATCTGAGGATCATGGTTAGAAGCCAACCTTCAGGCAAGATGTATGAGACTGTTCTAATTAAGTGCCAAAAAAGCCAGAAGTGGAGCTGTGGCCCAAGTGGTAGAGCACTAGCTTTGAGCAACAAAGCTCAGAGACAATGTTCCAGTCCTAGCTACTCAGGAGGTTGATATCTGAGGATCACAGTTCAAAGCCAGCACTTTCCTACCCTCCAGAAGTGTGAAGCTCTTGAGTTTAAACTACCATCTCAAGCTGGGCACTGGTGGCTCACACATGCAGTTCCAGCTACTCAGGAGGCTGAAATCTAAGAATCTTGGTTCAAAGCCAGCATGGGCAGGAAAGTCCGTGAGAATCTTACTTCCAGTTTATCACAGAAAAAGCCAGAAGTGGCACTATGTCTCAAGTGGTAGAGTACTAGCCTTGAGCAAAGGAAGAACTCAGGGATAGTGCCCAAGCCCAGAGTTCCAGTCCCAAGACGAGCAAAATAAAGGAATTCGCTGGTGCTGGTGGCTCATGTCTGTAATCCTAACTACGCAGGACTTGAGCTGAAGAGCTGAGGGACAGCGCCCCAGGCCCAGAGTTCAAGCCTCATGACCAACATGGGGGTGGGGCGGGGGGGGGGGAGAGGAAGGAATTCAATGGATTAATTTTGTTAAATATTTTATATTTATGCTTTACTAGAAGTATAAAGTGACATGTGGCATAAAATGAATAAGAATCCATGCTTCTCCCTTTCTCTTGTCCCTATAGGCCTGGGTAGTAATGTCCTTCCCCACTTCCCCCATTCCCACAGTTCTCCTACAGCCCCCTCACCCTTGTAAACTGTCTTCTGCCTAATCTGTGGTGTTTTCCTTTGGGGACCCTGATTTATAACCATGGGAGTGGGGGGAGATAGGGGCTGAGATGACCTGGATCTTCACAGTGTTACTTAGTGTAAATGCACACATGGGTATCCTGTTTTCTGCAGCAGCTTCTGGGTCTCAAGTTATGAGGTCAGACAGCTATCCCTGAGGCAGCAAAATAAGTCAAGTCAGGGTTTGGAGCCTTCAAGGCTCAGCCTTATAGCAAGCCTGAACCACCACTGCCAGAAGCCTTTTCTTACCTGAAAAGGCTCTACAGAGGGCTTTGGGGGAAATGTGACAGCAGCTCATTTCTAAACCTCCCCCTTGTCTCCTAGAAACCATATAGAGCAAGGAAGATAATGGAAAAACACACAGTGCATTTTCACTAAATCTAGGAGACACAGAAAGCCTACAGACTCTAAATTATGTGTATGTGTGACCAAATTCCAAGCTGAGCAGGCAGTCCCCAGCAGAGCCCCAGAGAAGCGCCTGGAGAGAGGGAGACAGTGTACAGATGACAAATACCTCTTTATTCCTGAGAGGAAAGGCCTCACTGTGGAGAAGAAAGGAAAGGCTAAGAGCAGAGCTTACAACTGAGGCAAGTACTGGGAAATGTGGAGAGAATGATTAATGTCTCCAGAGGGACCCAGAAAAGGCAGATCTCAGAAACTGTAGGCAAAATTCTCCAATATTCAATATGAGTGATGGCAGCTGGTGGGATCTCCTGTGAAGCAGAGAAGTCTGGAGAGATTCAGAGGCAAGAGGAGAGGAAATAGCAGCTGCCCAAAAGTGGCAACTTTGAAGGAAATGATCCGTTATAACACGGGGACAAATTTGAATCTGTAAACCTGGAAAGCTATCCTGAACCTTCTCCACCCCCTCTACAAGGTCTACTAATAGTTTGGGAAAAAACCTCATTTAAAGAACTTACCTAGGTCCAGGTAGTTCACATCTTATCTCCATTTAACAACTAAAAAAGCTGGAAGTGGGACTGTGGCTCAAGTGGTAGAGTGCTTTGAGTGAAAAAGCTAAGAGATACTGCCCAGGTCCTGAGTTTAAGCCCCAGTACCAGAAGATAAAAAAAAAAATCCATAGAGCCGGGCGCTGGTGGCTCACGCCTGTAATCCTAGCTACTCAGGAGGCTGAGATCTGAGGATCGCGGTTCAAAGCCAGCCCGGGCAGAAGAGACCGTGAGACTCCTATCTCCAATAAACCACCAGAAAACCGGAAGTGGTGCTGTAGCTCAAGTGGTAGAGCGCTCACCTTGAGCTGAAGAGCTGAGGGACAGCGCCCAGGTCCAGAGTTCAAGCCCCACAACCGACAAAAAAAAAAAAAAAAAAAAAAAAAATCCATAGAGAAATGTTATGAAGTGCTTGCTAGTGGTCCATGGCATCAATGATTAAATAAAAAGAAACTAGTGAAGGTGCTTAGTTGAGCATCCAGAATATGGAGAAGTAATTCAAACTAAGGTGAGTGGTGCCTGGTTGAGGGTGGACTGGCTAAAGGGTGGTCAGCTGAAGTTCATAGGACTTAAGTTGTTGTGGCTCATTGAAGCTTAGGTGAAGATTTCCTGTCAATGAGTAAAATTTCCCTCTTTGTTCCTGTTACAAGTTTTAAAAAAACTCACAGTTTATGTAACGTAAACATTTAAGATCCACTTTTAAATTCATGCAGTAAACTGAGGGGAAAATGAGTGTGACTCTGAATCCTTTTGTGGTTCAAAAGTGTGAAGACTGGGTTTTCACTCCGTTGCCTGAGATATGCTGCCCTGAAACCTTGTTCTATGTCAGAGTATTACCTAGCTGATGAAAAAAGTACAAATAAAGAAGAAAAAAGGGAACAAGGAGCTGGGTGTCAGTGTCTCATGCCTGTGATCCTAGCAACTTAAGAGGGTGAGATCTGATCTCAGGATAATGGTTCAAAGCTAGAACAGATACGAATCCAAGAGTCTTTTTATTTTTGCCAGTCCTGAGGCTTGAACTCTGGGCCTGAGCACTGTCCCTGAGCTGCTTTTGCTCAAGGCTAGCACTTGAGTCACAGCACCACTTCCAGCTTTTTCTGTATATGTGGACTAAGGAATGAAACCCAGGGCTTCATGCATGCTAGGCAAGCACTCTACCACTAAGCCACATTCCCAGCCCCAAGAAACTCTGATCTCCAATTAACTAGCAAAAAGAAGGAAGTGGAGCTGTGGCTTGGTAGTAAAGTGATAGCCTTGAGCAAAAAAGCTAAACAACAGTTTAAGGATCTGAGTTCAACCCCCAGTACCAGCAGAAGAAAGGAAAGAGAGAAGGAAGAAAGGGAGGGAGGAAGAGAGGAAGGAAGGAAGGAAGAAAGGAAGGAAATAACTGGCCATGCTAGGGGTCCCCCAGGTAAGCCTATGGTATTTGCTCCAAGTTTGTTGAGTGAATGTGTATAAAAACACCCAGCAGGATGGTGTGACAGAACGTGTGTTGGGTACAGGAGTCTAGGGGGACTCAGGCCTGAGGGCTTCAATAGTGACAAGATCCAGAATATGGGTCAAGCACTAGTGGCTCATGCTTGTAATCATACCTACTAAGGAGGCTGAAATTGGAGGATCAAAGTTCAAAGCCAGCCTGGGTAGGAAATTCCATGAGACTCTCTTTTTTTTTTTTTGTCAGTTGGGCTTGAACTCTGGGCTTGGGTGCTGTCCCTGCGCTCTTCAGCTTTTGGCAAGCGCTCTACCGCTTGAGGCACAGTGCCACTTTCAGATTTCTAGTCTCACGGACTTTCCTGCCCCAGGTGGCTTTGAACTTCGATCCTCAGATCTCAGCCTCCTGAGTAGCTAGGATTACAGGCGTGAGCCACCAGCACCTGTGGAGACTCATCTCTTATCTACCAAAAAGCTAAGGCTAGGTGCCAGTGGCTCCTTCCTATAATCCTAGCTAGGAGGCTGAGTTCTGAGGATTGTGGTACAAAGCCAGCCCAGGCAGGAAAGTCCATGAGATTTTTTTTTTTTTTTTTTTGGGTCTGGTCGTGGGGCCTGAACTCTGGGCCTGGGCGCTGTCCCTCAGCTCTTCAGCTCAAGGCTAGCACTCTACCACTTGAGCCACTGCGCTACTTCTGGCTTTTTTCTTTTTGCTTATGTGGTGCTGAGGAATCGAACCCAGGGCCTCAGGCATGCAAGGCAAGCGCTTCTTTCTTTCTTTCTGCTGGGGCTTGAACTCAGGGTCTAGCTACTGACCCTCTACCACTTGTGCCACTGTTCCACTTTTGGCTTTTTGGTGGTTAATGAGAGTTAAGAGTCTCATGGACTTTTCCTGCCCGGGCTGGAGAGAGTTTTTTTTTTTTTTTGCCGGTTGTGGGGCCTGAACTCTGGGTCTGGGCACTGTCCCTCAGCTCTTCAGCTCAAGGCTAGTGCTCTACCACTGGAGCCACAGCGCCACTTCTGGCTTTTTCTGTTTATGTGGTGGTGAGGAATCGAACCCAGGGCCTCATGCTTGCAAGGCATGCACTCTACCGCTGAGCTACCTTCCCAGCCCCTGGAGAGAGTTTTCTTTACTTTGACTCTTGGTTGGAGATGGTTGGGAAGGCAAAGTAAGGCAGGAAGCAGAAGCTGGAGAAAAGCCCAGGGTGCCTGAGTCCCCCATGCTCTGTGGCCACCAGGGGGCAGCCTATACATTGACAAGGCACCCATGTCCCACACCCTTCACTGCCAGGCCCTGACTGAGGCCTTCCTCTCAGGTTGTGTGGCATGTATGGTTGTCCAGGAGGTGAGAGAAGTTTAAATGATTTGTTCAAGATCACCTGACAGCTGGGCACTAGTGGCTTGTGCCTGTAATCCTAGGAGGCTTAGATCTGAGGCTCATGATTTGAAGCCAGCCCAGGCAGCCAGCCCAGGCAGGAAAGATTGTGTCTTATCTACAATTAACTACCAAGACAAAGGAAGTAGAGGTGTGGCTTGAAATGGTAGGGTGCTAGCCTTGAGCAAAAAGGCTCAAGCACAGCACCCAAGCCCTGAATTTAAGCCCCAGGACCAACCAAAAATAAAAATCATATGACTAATTGGTGAGGAAGATGGCATTTGAACCCAGCCCCTCATTCCAGGCCAGCATTCCTGTGTGTGTGTGTGTGTGTGTGTGTGTGTGTGTTTGTGTGTGAGTGTGTGTGTGTGTGTGTGTGTGTACCAGTGCCAGTACTACTTTAGGCTTGAACTTAGAGCCTGAGTGCTTTCCCTTAGTGTTTTTGTTCCAGGCTGGTGCTTTACCATTTGAGCCAGACCTCCACTTCTAGCTTTTAGATGGCTATTTGGAGATAACAGTCTCCCAGACTTTCCTGCTCAGACTGGCTTTGAACTGGGATCCTCAAATATCAGCTTCCCAACTAGCTATAATTAGAAACATGAGCCTCTAGCACCAGCTACAGCCAGCTTTCTTAACCCTTAGATTACTAGTTCTCAGAAAGACAATTCCTAGTCACTGCAGGGATAGGTGGGAAATGGAAGTCTATGGACATTATTCCAATACAGCTAGAAACAGAGAACAAAATGTGTATTAATTTAGAAGGAGATGGGAGCAGGGTGCCAGGGGCTCACACTTGTATTCCTAGCAACCCAGGGAGCTGAGATCTTAGGATCACGGTTCAAAGACAGCCCTGGCAAGAAAATCTATGAGTGTCTTATCTATAATAAACCACCAGAGGGTTAGGATGTAGCTCAGTGGCAGAGTGCTTGCCTAGTAATCCCCAATACCCAAAGAAAAGACATTAAAAAGAAAAAATACAGTTAAACAAACTAGCAAAACAAACAATACAGTTAACCACCAGAAAACCAGAAATGATGCTATGGTTCAAAGTGTTAGAGGGCTAGCCTTGAGTGAAAAAGCTGAGGGAGGGTGTCTAGGCCCTACAAGCAACCTACCAAAAAAAAAAGAGTGATGGTATAATCTCATGCCTATAATCCTAGCTACTCAAGAGTCTAGAACCTGAGAATCAAGATTTAAAGCCATGGGGGCTGGGAAGGTGGCTCAGTGGTAGAGCGCTTGCCTTGCATGCATGAGGCCCTGGGTTCGATTCCTCAGCACCACATAAGCAAAAAGAAATAAGCTGGAAGTGGCGCTGTGGCTCAAGTGGTAGAGCGCTAGCCTTGAGCTGAAGAGCTGAGGGACAGCGCCCAGGCCCAGAGTTCAGGCCCCACGACCAGACCAAAAAAAAAAAAAAGATTTAAAGACAGCCCAGGCTGAAAAATCCCTGAGAATCTTCTTCCAACTAAGGAGCAAAAAGTTGGAAGTAGAAGTGTGGCTCAAGTGGTAGAGCGATAGTCCTGTGCAAAAAAAAGCTAAACAAGAGTGCAAGGCCCAAATACACACACACACACACACACACACACACACACACTAAAAGGAGCCAGAGAGAAAGTATATGTTGAGACCTAGACCTATGTTCCACCCAGAATATTGCACTATTGTGCATATTCCTTTTACCTAGCACTTTTCTGGAGGCTTGAATTCTTCTGAGTATTTTTCTAGGCACTGAGGTTGGAACTCAAAGCCTCTTGCTTGCTAGGCAGCTGCTTAACTACCTGAACCAAGCCTTCAGCCCCAAATCAGCACACTTAGGGCTGCGATAGTATCTCCTGAAGTTGTATAATACACATGCCAGGGTTTTCAGCATACTTGTGTCCTAATTCCTGTAGAAACATGAAGTTTTGTATTACTTGATATATCTTTCATTTCTGTCTACAAAATATGTTTCATGTAATGGGCATGTTGTAGGCTTCCAATAAATGTCATTACATGATGAATAAAATAATAAATGAGTGAAAGACACCACAGAAAGCAGACTTCTGCTAAGGGTATATTCCTTTTGTGGAGACCTGAATATGAATGAATCCATTCTCTTCTATCAGTAGAGCTCAGTCTTCAGCCCAGTGTCCAAGTCAACACTGTTAAGGTAAAGGAAGGCCATCTTATTACTAGGCAAAGTCCCTAGTAATCCTTTGTCCTCACTCCTGTTCTCCACCAATCAGCTTGCTTTTCCTCCTCCCTTCATTTGTTCAAATCCTACAGCAGCTGCTGGAGGGGATGGAGGAGGTTCTCAAAGGAAGGAAGGAATGAGGGCAGTGGGCTTGGGCACGGTTTGAGCATGGGGAGGGGAAGGAGGTTAGCTTCTGTGCCCAAGAGGCTTGTTCTGGGTAAAAAGCTGGTCTTCTTGAACCTCAGATGACGAAGCAAACCACATCCTGGCCTTAAACACCTACTCACCCTCATGGAGCCAGCCATCTAAGCCCCTTGTACCTAGGCAACCTGCCCACAAGCTGCCCCCTCGGAGAGTCCCAAGCAACTCCTGCAGCAGCAGCCTCCCACTGGGGATGCATGCCTTTGCTACCTGAATCCCAGGTACTTGTGGTCCTTCCCATGAGCTGCGGGAGTCCTGATCCCATCACATGACCCAAGGCCTGGGCACAAGTCATTGGTTATTCCTCTCCACCTAGACCTTGCTGCTGAGGCCCCCCTCACCAACTGGAGCACCTTCCGACATGGCCGGCATGCTGTCGCTCGTCTTTATCATGGTCCATTCAGGTGACAGGGCATTTGCTCAGGATGCTCATGGGGGTGGAGTTGGGAAGAATGGGGGGTGAGGGAGGTAAGACCTCGGTGTCCCAGGGACACAGGTGAGATGGAGGCTGAACATTGTGACCAGAGAGCCACTTTGAGGAAAGTAGCAAAGCTTCCATCTCCATAACGCTGAGGCCTGGGGAGTTTCCAGTCCCAGTCCCCCCAGGTGTCTCCTTTCCTGCAAGGGTCATTGTGAGCTTTCATCCTAGAGCCTTTTTCTTCTGAACTTCTTC